ATATATATATGTCCTTACAGCATGCTGAAAATTCAGACTTTATTTTTAAATACCTAAATAATTCATTTAAATAAWTATGTTAAGCTGGAATCTGCACTTTATACCTATCTTTTGTCGTTTAATGCCCAAAGCTCTGTTGACATTTTTGTACGATAACTACCAAAGTTGTGTTAAAAATAAAATTATTTAAATAAAATCGTTAATTATGATTTTAGGTGATAAAATAGTCCTTCAAATAAAATTTAGTCAATATATTAATACTGGATTAAAGTACTCTGGCAGCCCTACAGCTCAACATCCCCCCATCCTCGGAGTTAATCCTTACCTTCTACTTGTCAATTACACTAAACCCCTGAAATTCATGATTGTTACCTTCTTAGAGAACCTGCTAACTGTGAAAAAAATGCAAACTAAAATTTAAAAAAGTATAATCTTTTATTGCCAAGTACTTTTGCACATACAGGTGTGAGGGTTTTCTGTACTTCTGAAGGGTTTTTAAAGCTTGGTTAAAAAACAAAACAAAACAAAACGAACAAAAACAAATAACCTGTCCCGTGTTTTTCCTGTTCATACACCAGATTGACCAGAGTGATGATGATGCTGTCAGACTTCGGTCATGTTTTATTAGTTGTTATATTACTCCTGGATCAAATCACAGCCTGTCAGGGTGGATGCAGCTCTGTGTGGCGCCAGACAGAACGGAGCAGCTTTTATCTGGCTGCACAAAGACGAGCCTCAAAAGTCTTCCTCTCACTATGGAAACATTATATTTACTTCACCTAAACAACATGAAATGTACTTGAACATGAAATAGTATTTGGCTATGCACTGCATGTGCTCAATTCTGTTTTTTTTCCTGAACACACATAATTTTTCTAATCCAACCTCCATCTGACTCCACTGTGAACTTTCCAAGGTCCTGATGTGACCTGCGTGCATAGAAGATGATGTCATACTCAGCTTGCTGTTTACAGAAGTAGCTAAATATGGATGCTACTTGTTAGCATGTTGATTCTTAAGTTGTTGTTCAATCAGAGTCAAATAAATAATTATCTGACATGCTTTGTTCACTGCTCACATTTTAACAGTCCTCTGGCTGGATGCAGCTTTTTATTTTTGGAACAGAAGCAACGTGCTAAAACTAAAACACTGATCCAGAAACTTTAGCATCAATACAGTCCAAGACTGACTTTAGGGTTATGCAGTATATGAAAAAGACCTGGGTTGGCTTAAAAAAAATCAGATTTATAATGTTCAGACCGTCATAAAATAGTTCCAATATGGGTCACATCTCATTAAAAAGAATTGGATTTGGGCCACTTTTGCCTGCAGTGTGACCGTAGATTTACTGGTTACTCCTTGGTGTTTTATGGTGTCTCTCTGACTCTTCTGTAAGTTGCATATTCTTCTGCCTTTGTAGAATATTTCTCTGAGATTTATACTAACTCATAACACCCTAACCAAGTGCTGAACCGCATACTGTGCACGCAGCATGAATGTATCCAACGTGAAAAGCTTTGGAAATCACTTCAGCACGGCAGGTATGGATACGAAAATATATGAATATCAATTATTTTCTTTCTGGAAAAAGAAGGAGTTGTTTAAAAAGATGAATGACTTTAATGCAAACATCAAATTCACAGTTAGAACAAATGACTTTGAATTACTTTCAAAATGTTTCCAGCTCGAGATGTTGGAGACGCCAGCGACGGTTGTTTTTAAGGAGACTTCTTTCTAAAATTTTCTCTGCCGAAACTTATCCACTACATTGCTGGTAGTATTTATTTCTGTTCTACAGCTGGTACTGTATTTAAATTACTATGAACCCTGTAAAGTTCTAAGACCCCTGGGCTCAGATCAAAATGTGGAGCCCAGGGTTAAAACCAAACTAGGGATGTCCCGATCAGACACTCAGTATTGGTGGCAGATATGGCTATTTTTCGAAAATCAGGTAGAATCTGATTTAGACGTGATCGGGCCGATCCAGTTTTCACAACAGTTTTCAGCATCATCATGCTTTACAACAGCCGTTCAGGAGTCAAAACGCACACAAGTATGCGCATGTGCACAGTGTGGGAACACTTTTCAATGGAAAACAATGATGCTGAAACTGCATCTTGCAGAATCTGCAAACTGGATGTTTCTTGTGGTGGGAACAGCAGGGCTCGCCTTAATACCACCAACCTTGTCACTTGGAAAGAAATAAAGAAATGAAGCTATTGGATCGGTATCGGAAAGACTAATCATTAAAAAAAATCCGATTGTATCAGGAGCCAAAAAATCTGGATRGGGACATCCCTAAACCAAATACGTCGAAGCAATATTTAACTTTCATTCAATGCAACAAACTAACGCCAGATCTAAAGCCAGCCTCAAAGGTGAGAGCTTTTAAATCCAGGTTAAAACAAATATTTTTCTCAAGCCTATGACTGAGATGTTTTAAAATTATTTTCATCTTAAAACTTGATTTAGTCTTTTTTTCTTTGTTTTAAAAAGTGAAGCACATTGATGTGTATGAAATTTGTTATAGAACTAAAGTTGCCTCACCTGTTTGTATTTATTATTCTATACCTTAGTGTAGATTTTAATGGAAAACTCATCAAGAGATTATAAAAACAAAAGTATATATATAGTAAAAAGCAAGGGGATTCATTGTTTTTCAAGTGCAACAAATTAAATGTTTCCAAACTCTATGAAAATTCATTTTTAATAATCATGATGACAACACTGTCTAAAAACTCATAGCTGTGATTTTTTTTTATAATACACTCATGGAGCAATACCTTTCTTTTAGTGACAATTATTCAAAGTTTTAATCCAAGCCTAATTAAATCTCCAACATGTTTCTAAACTATCTTTAGACTAAGGAAAACTACACCTGTATTTGATTTACGTTGACAGTTACCAAGATTCACCCTGCAAACTGAAACCTTTTAAAATATTTAATGGCACCACATCAGAGTTCTTGTTTACATGTTTCCACATAAGTCATTTTTCCTTTTCTACTTAATTATTTATATGATTGCATGTCAGATATTTAATGACCTGTCCTTGCATGGTTTTAGATTTTAATTTAAAAAAAGAATAGAGCTCCTGTTTGGTTTGTGCAACTGGTTTGTCTGGCAAACATGGCAATGTGTGTTTAAATTTTACTGTATTTTATTTTACAACAGTACATTTTACTGTATCTTTAGCAGCCCACCAAACATTGCTCTAAAAAAGTCAGTTTACTGATCCCCCTCAAGTGATGAGGTGGGATTTCTGCAGTTTTACAGATACTGAGCTAAAACTTGATGAGGTAGTAGCTGAGAGTCATTCACAACATGTGTATTACACAACATGTATGTTAATATCCTTTAACAACAGAGGAGGTTGTGTTGTGGTTAAAAATGAGTAGTTAAAATGCTGCAACATTTATCTTGTCTAAGTTACTGATTTAAACAGACTATTAAAAAACTTTAATGTATATGGTGTTGAATTTATATGCTTACTAAATGGATGTCAGGTTATTTTTTAAATTGTTTATACGTCAAAACAATAAAATAAAACTCAAAATCTAAGTCAAAATGTATAAKAGTTTAATTACAATGATGTCACCTACCAGAAAAAAATAAAATACTGTAAGCTAAATGGAAAAGCTTACAACATTTCCCCAGATATCCTGATTATTATTATTATTATTTATTAATAGCTTCAGGCACAATTTGACAGTAATGGACACTGAATCAGCTTCTTTTTTTAGACTAACTACTGAACAGACTAACAGATGTCCTTTACCCACACAGCGACGCATTAGGTACTAAAGAAACAAATAATCATATAATTCTTACCTATAATTTCAGTGACACTGTTACTCTGGTCCCTGAAGACGTTTGGGAGGTTAGCTGGAAGCATCCTTGTCACATTGTGTTGTGGAGTCAACCCGAGCCGCAACCAGAGGCATGCAGAGGGTCAGGAGACAACAATACAGACTGTAAATAAATATATCAACACGGCTGTTTAGTCATTAAACTCCCTGAGACGCGAACAGACCGCGCTCGTTGTGTTTACTGGCTAGCCTAGCAGTCAAGACAGCAGAGAGAGATAAAAGCACCCGCCTGGAAGCGCCGCTGTGTCCACCGAGGCTCCGCCCCCTGCTCAGTGAAATCCCACGCTCAAATCTCGCGATAACACACAAGACTTTCTTTTCAAGCTTTCGCACAATGTACTTCTAGTAAAATATCTAAAGAACCACCGGGCCGATTTGAATGAAACTTCCCAAAAGTAATCACTGGAGGAACATCTACAAATAAACAACCTCTGGAGTCGATTCAAATAAAAATGTCTGCCACAGCTGAGAAAAACTTAGTAAATACAATTGTCTACAAGTCAAAACAAAATTACAGCAATTGAGATAAAAGTTGGTGTGGTGATCGCTGAGAGTCGTCTCTAACTCATTCTGAAAGCTACACATACAATCTTTGCCTTGTTTTAACCATTAGTATTAAGCATGTTTGTTAGCAAAATACCTAATTTTCGTAGAAAGCAATCAGTTCATGGACATAGCTTTGGGAGTCACCACAATTCAAATGGCCAATTCAGCTAATGTCTGATGTAAATGCATTGGTCAATGTAAAAACAGTTATAGCTCAGTTGGTTTTACAGATAGGCCTATGTGCTAAAATTTGGTGTGGTAGTAGCTGAGACTCATTCTCATCATAGAGCACCAACTTTTGTGTAACATCTTTGTTTAATACATTAAAGTTAACACTGATAGCAAATTAAATCCTGGTCAGAAAATAATCATTGGATGTATGTAGGCCTACATTTACAACAGACTGACATTTGGAGTCAATTCAATTCAAGATGACTTCCACAGCTAATCCACAGRTAGTCATCTTTTTCATTTCCATTTAATTCTTGACAGTGGTTCTTATTGTCCTGTTGATGTCCTGATAGTTATTATAGGCTTTTCTAGATTCCTTCTCTCAGCAGCTGGTCATTTGTGCTGCTAAGTGTTCATGGAGAGGGTGCAGTCCACCTCTTCATACCTGAGACTCTGTCTGGATATCTGCCACTGGGAGATATTCCCCTGCTCCTTTACACAAGAAAGGAGAAATATTTATCACATTTGATGGTGAAGTGTACCCACGACTGCAGGCAAGTTTTCTACAYTTCAACGGGTCTGATAAAGGAACTAATAAGGAAACAGCATTCAAGAAAAAAACTTACAGGGTATCAGGCAGGCACAGAGCAAGAAAGATTATGAATCTGACAGAGAACAAGTACTTCATTTTCACATCTGTATATTGTGGAATGTATTCTAACACACATTCAGTTCTGTAGTAAAAAAAAAAAAAAAAAGAGTTTCAGGACTGAACAGGTCATTTGGTCCATAAGAGCAAATCAATTTACTGACATACACAATGAAACGGCTTTGTTCTGTAAACACATTGAAAAAAAACGTCATGCTGATCTTGAACTGTGCTTCATTAGAACACAAATCAAATTCAAAACAACACTCCCATCTTGAGTTTGAACAAAGAACAGCATCAGAACGCTTTATGTTGTTTTTATTGCTGCTGTTTCCACTTCAAACCTCATAAAACATTAGTGGTTTAACAGGATGAATCTCTGCTCTTTTTGCCCTCGTTTTTCATTTTCTTATTAAAACTCACAACATGTGGATGACATTGGGGAGGGGGGGGG